CAGTGGTTAAGAGCATTGCCTGCTCTTCCAAAGGTCCTGAGTTCAATTCCCAGCAACCACATGGTGGCTCACAGCCATCTGTAAAGAGGTCTGGCGCCCTCTTCTGGTCTTCGGGCATGCACACAGAATATTGTATACATAATAAATAAATAAATATTTAAAAAAAAAAACAACAAAAAAGAAAACTCAAGCACTTCTATGTTGCTGGGCAGTGGTGGTGCATGCTTTTAATTTCAGCACTCAGGAGTCAAAGACAGGTGGGTCTCTGTGAGTTTGAGGCCAGCCTGGTCTACAGTGTGAGTTCGAGGATTGGTTCCAAAACTATAGAGAAACCCTATCTCAGAAAACCAAAAACAAATGGGGGGCATTAAAGTGTAGCATCTGCGCTACTATGTGTACTACAGTCTTGTAGCACCTGTACTACATGTACTATGGTACTATGCCTGTAGCTATGGGATAGTTTGTGAGCCAGGAAAAGGCTTGGAGATTAACACATGCAAAGACAGAGAGACAGAAACACAGGTCATCCTTGAAACAAGGATGCCCCCTTTATTGTGTTCCAGAGCAGCTTATAAAGGGATCCTTAACTGATAGCCACACCCCAGCTAAACCCACCAGAAATCAATCCCCTGCCATCAGGAACTCCTGAGGGCCTCGTGCTCAGAGCAGCTGCAAACACAGAAAAACAAGTTGTTTACAGGAAACTCAAGGTCTGGGGGTCCACAGCTGCCAACATTAAAGGACTTGGGGTATACTTGATAGAGTATTTGCCTTGTGTGCACCAAGCCCAGTGAAGAAGCCTTGGAGAGGCCATGGCTGTACAGTGGGTGCCCAGTCTGCCTGCGCTGCTTGCCTCTAGCTGCATTGCCTCTCGCGGGAACCCCAGCTCTGACCCTGCTTCCTTGCAGAGCGCCAGTGGAACATGTGGATCCCAGGATTTGGCTCCGAGGAAATCCGACCCTACAAAAAAGCTTGCACCACAGAAGCTCACAAACAGGTGAGGAGCCTTGGCCAGCCAGGGTTGGTCCCTAGAACTGCACCTCGGAGCGGGCATGCCAGCTGTCTTCCAGGAGTATTGTCCCCTGTGCACCAGCTTCCCTGCACAGAGGTCAGGGGCAGCACAGTGACAGCCTCCTTGGTGCTGTGCTGCTGCAGGGGAGCTTTCAGTTTCCTCTCAGCCCCAGAGAGTTTCACTTAAAGCTCTTGATTGCAGAGCGTCTGTGGGCATCCCCACCTGCTCCCACACCTTAGGAAAAGCCAGTTTAAATGACATACACCACCCAGGGCAGAGAAAGCAGTGTGCTGGGCTTGTGCTGAGAGGTACCCAGGCTGGTCTGCCCGACATTCTGGGTTATGTCTCATGGTAGCTGCTGTCCTCTGCCCTTCTTGACAGTGTGAGGACATCATTTCTGATAGAGAACCAGTTATCCCTGTCTTTAGTCCACTGGGGGTACTGGCCTCCTCTTGACAAGTCTGGCATCTTTCTGTTGTAATCTAAATGGCTGCCCTGGGGAAAGGGAGCTTCATGTGAATATGGCAGGCACAGTGGGCAGTGCCAGTCTCTCAGTCTGTGAAATGGGCCCTGTGACCATCTCTCAACCCTGCGTGCTGCTCCTACGATGTCGACCATGCTACTTGCTAACGGCCTCTGGATATCCCGTAAAGCTTCTGACTCAGAGCCCTCTTCATTTCTCTCCTCTTTCAGAGAATGGCATTGATCCGGAAAACAACGAAGAAATAACACAGGGACAGTCAGTGAATGGACGACACGCATTTGGAGATACTTGAGCTGAGACCTCAGCCATCTCATCCTTGGATTTTTTTTAAATGCTTTACAGAGAAGCATATATTTTTTATTAACAGTGCAGCAATATCTATAATGACTGAGAAGATCTGCCAAAAGAATAAAGCCTCCTACCCCAACTTCTGGTTCCTTTTCCCTGCCGTCTCAAAGAGAAGCAGTGTATCCTTGGGAGAAGACGTGGCCCAGTTTGTCTTATAAATGATTGACTGTAGGCAGAGCGGTATATGCAGTCATGTTAGGTGAGACAGTGTTAGCAAGGTTGTAGCGGGTTTGTCTGCTCCTTCCCCTAGTCCCTGTACTTTGTGATGTCAGTGTTTATATGAATATGAACTTGATTTGCTTTTCCAGAATAAAGAACTTATTAATTGAAGACACGGTGCACAGCTGAGAGCCTCTGAAATGCCAGCCAGGCCCAGCCGTCAGCAGGTGGCAGCACAGGCTCCGCACCGATCCGTACATTTAAGAAACAGGTTTTTTTTTTTCAGTTTTACTCCAAAGGAACAAACTGGCAGGAGTTGGAATCCAGTTTCTCTGCCACCAGACAGGGTAAACTAGTCCTGAAATAAACAAGCATTCTAGTTCTGGTAATGTCAGTGTCCCTGGGACTTTTTTCTTTTTTTTTGTTTGTTTGTTTTTGGTGTTTTGAGGCAAACTCTCATGTAACCCAGGCTGGCGTCATCCTTGATCCCTCCCTCCTGCCTCTACCTCTCGGTGTGCTGACTACGGGTGCATCCTCACACCCGGCTTTCTAGAGCCCTTTTGGACCGTGGCTGGAACTCCGTGGAAGATCATGAAGGAGGATGTGAACATCTTTGGGTACGGTCTGTTGCTGAGCGTCTGTCATCAGAGGAAAGCAGACCCTGCTAGACCACAGGATGTTCTCCCCAAGGCATTGTCCTGCCCATGCCCAGCACAGTCCTGTGGATTGTGAGGGGTCCATGGGCTCTGGGGAGGGTGGCTGCCCCTCTACCTAGGGACCACAGCACAGACACAGCTTTGTCATCTTCCTCCTGAGGCTTGGTCTAAGATGGGACAGTTTGTAGATCTCTTGGGTGAGCAGCTCAAAACCATTCAAATGTCGCTGTTGTTCTTGGCTGAGGTGTCACCTGCAAAAGTACAGCCAGCTTCTTCACTGGTCACACGGACACTGAGCTCGGCCTGTGGCCTAGCACCAGGAGGAGGATGTTGGAGGATTTGACCTTCCCAGAGCCTGCTGCCACTGGGAGATGCTCTCAAAGGATGCTCTGTCAGTGATGACAGACAACAGAAGGCTCACACTGCGCCCTGACTGGAACAAGACCCTGACTCCAGCAGCCAAGAAGGAAGTTTGAAGGACTCTTGAGACCTGTGTCGAGGACGGAAAGGGACAAGGCAATTGGGGAAGTACAGTGGACAGAAGTGAGGTACTCACAGATGTCAGTTCTTGATCAGCTGTGTGACAGGTAGGTGGCTTCCTCTGTCTCAGTCCTACCGTCCTGTTAGGACATTGAGTGGCTGTTCAGGTCCCTGTATGCTGTGTCTGTGCCGCTACTAGGCAAGAGCCACAATAGTGAATTAAAGCAACCTAGGTGTGCTGACGTCAGAGAAAGACAAATACGACAGAGACTAGAGTTACATCTGGAAGAAGAGGGAATGGGAAGGTGTAGCCTCGGGTTCCAGCAATGAGTGGGTTTTGTCCAGAAGTAACAGGAGCCATTGAAGCATTTTGTACAGTAATAGAATGTGCGAAGGCCCAGGGGTCTATAGAAGGCGGTGTACCTGAAGCTAGGGATGTAGTTCAGTGGTAGAGCCCATGCTTAATATAGTAAGGTCCTGGTTTCAATCCCAGAAATTAAAAACATTTAAGAAAAAAAAAAGTGTCAAGATGGGACTCACCAGGTGCAGGACTGGAAGAGAGTATACAGAGAGAAGAAAGGGAGCATGGGGTGGACAGTTCTCAGACTCAGTGTGGCTTCATCCTGGCATCTCGGGCATTTGGAGCCTTGCTCCAGTGAGCTGTGTTGGCAGCAGGCTGTTCTTGGCTTCCTACAACACTCACTTGATCAGTGTCTTTTTTACCTGTTGAGACTTGGGAAGGATTGCATTAGACAAGATGTTAGAGCCCATCCTGCCTCTCTGATCCTGTTGCAATGTGGAACATCGTCTTCTAAGTAGAACATGGTTGGTACATTGTGTATGTATGCATATTTTTGTGTATGTGTGTTTGCTCACACGTGAGCATACACACACCTGTGTGTGTGGAGGCCAAAGGGAAATCTCAGGTGTCATCCTCAGGAATGTCATCTCCCTACTTTGAGACTGGGTCTCTCCTTGAACTTGAACTTACCAGTTAGGCTAGACTGTCTCACCAATGAGCCCCAGGAATTCTGCCGTCTCCCTCTCCCTCTCCCTCCCGAGCACTGGAATTGCAAGTATGTACCACCACGTCCAGCATCTTATATAGATTCTGGGCATCAAACTCAGGTCCCCACGCCTTCGAGACAAGCACCTAGCTGTCTCCCCAGCCCTGGTTGCCGTCTTGATTGTTCAGTTGTTATTATCCTGAAGGAAAAACCAGGTTTATTGAATACACCGCGAGGAGCAGCAGGCTGGCGATAACTAGCTTACTCCCAGCCTTGTTTCATCCTCTGAGACAGGATCTCCTGTAGCCCAGGCTGATGACTAAACTTGTTACAGGACTAAGGATCCAACTGCCTCCCTCTCCCAAGTGCTGGGGTTGGCGGTGTGCACTGCTAGCCTTGCAGGCTGTCTATCACCACCTCACTTAGAGCAGCGGTGGCTATCTGCAAGAGCCTCTCCTAAGATCATGTCTGCTACTGTTCCCTCGGAAGGAAGGGGTGAGGAGGGCTAATGGGCCTTCATCTAGGGCTCCAACCTGCTGCCCTGCAAGCTGCAGTGACCCTGCCCCAGCCACGTGTGGTCTTGGGGCAGCTGGAGAATACAAAGTGTGCACAGCCAACTTCAGAGGGAACCCCATCCCTGTCATCATGTTGGGGTGGGACTTTTCAGTGATACAGCTGTTTGGGGGTCACCCATGCTCCTGTACATAAGTCCAATAAACTCATTCGTTCACCAAGAGAGACTTGGGTGGAATTGTTTCTGTCCTTGGTGCTCTGCCTAGAGTGAACTGACATCAGGAAAAATTACAATCACACAACTGAAGGGAAGTGGGAAAGGCACCCTGGGCTATATAGAAGGTGGAGTTGGGGGATGTCACCATCAATCATTTCTCCAAAAATGTTGACGGGAACTAGAAGCTGGGTGTCTCAGTAGAGCAGTGGTCGCCATCCATGGGAGCGAGGTGTTTCCCAAAAGGTATTGAGGCCCGGCCAGATGGCTCATTGTTTGCCATGCAAGCCTGCCAACCTAAGTTCAGTCATAGAACTCACATAAAGGTGGAGGGAGATAAGCAGGCAGACCAGAATATAAGTAACTAGTTTTAAAACTATAATGTATGGGCCTTTGTACCATGGGCATGCAGGGTGAAGACTCCGTTACTTGTTCATAGCTGGCAATGGCAAATTATTTGGAGATGAACCAAGTTGAGGAATTTGATCTAGGATTTTTTTTTTTTTTTTTTTTTTTTTTTTTTTTTTTTTTTTTTTT